CTGCCTGTGAATGTGATACTCTTAGTCGTACAGAGTCTCATAGCTGTCTAACAAATTAAAACACGATCCCCCCAAATTAGACTACCCTGTATACAGGGGTACGTATAGTGGTGCCTGTGTGTTTCTTAAACTCTTTTTTGGCTTAGCCTAATTTGCCTCTGCTCTAGGCTCTATCTTTGAATTTTTGTTTGCTGTAAACACGATTAAGTTTTCTCTGTCATATATAGATCTAGGTCCATATCTATTTTGCGTTTTTTCAATTTGATAGAATGAACAGTTACGAGACATGCATCTAGATCATCTAGAGACTGTAGATCAACTAGATCTGGATCAAGGAATTGAATATAAATTTCAATGTTAGATAATGAAGGAGGGCTTTTTTGGTAAAGAGAAAATCCAAAAGAGAACAGTTAATTCTGCAAATGCTCATCAATGTTTTAATGATCATGCTCATTTCCTTTTATTCTAAGAATTAAATCCCCCCCCCCCCCTCTCTTTTACAGGAAAATGTACAGAGACTTGTCGCAGTTAATGCAGTACCAAATGCTTGCTTTCTTGGAGTATGTGCTTGAAACAAGAATGTCCTGGAGAAAATAGACCACCACAAGAGAAGGTAAACATATTTACTTTTGATCTAACTTGATCTGTTTAGTTTTTTCAAGTAAAACAAAATTTTGAATAGGTGAGGTCAAGGTCAAACTGAAGGGGATGCAAAGGGCTGGTTTGAGAAGTATGTATTCATGGGATGGCTATGTATGAATCCACATGTCTACTAACTCGTTGCTGAAGTGTTTCTCTTTTTAGAATTAACATTTTAAGCTCATGTGCAGGGGGAAAAGGGGGGGGGGGGGGTCCAATACATGAAAAGGAACGACAAGCAAAAAAACAACAACAACTGACCTTCAAATTTTGCTGAAAAAGTAATTGTTAAAGACAACTAAAATATTAAATAGTGCTATTTATTTCAAATTTGGTTAATATTTATTGAATTGTTTATAATTCTGTTCCAGGGATTGAGAAGGAGGTCTTCCTGTTGACAGATCAGGGGGTGCCTTGAGGTTCCACTCTTGATGTTCTGCCCCTTACCTGAAAGCGATGGCCTCTTGTGCCTGACATATTAGGAGCAAAGCACAATGGACTGGTAATTAATAATGAATATTACAATGTTTTTTTTTAAATCTGGTAAAGAAACAGATAAAGTCATAGCAACTGAGCCTGTCATGGCATTTCGAGTGACCAAACATTTGCTCCTGCAACGACTGCTCAAGGCTTTATTTGTCAAATGTGTAGGGTTAGGCCGAGGGTTGCAATTGGGATTGAGGTTAGGTGTAGGGTAAGGTCTAGCCTCTTGTCGATGCCCTCGCGCTGTTGGAGTCTCTAAATTCTGACGAGCGAAGCGAGTCAGAGAAACCGAGGCGCTTGCGCTGAGGGCCTCTTGACAAGTGATCTGAATTATATATTCATGAGACCCGATTTCCTACTGAATTATGCATATCTAGACCGCAGCGATTGTGTGTGTGTACGTGTGTGTTCGGGATTGCCCAACTAGGCTAGTCTGCAAGCACAGACCCTAATTTGACACTTTATCAAAAAAATCATTGTGCCTTGAGAGAAGCCTAGCCCAGCTATCTACTGGTACCTACTGGTTGTACCAATATAGGTCAGGAGCAGCTATAGTACGTGTCATATGGTAGTCTTATAGTGCACACTCTCTTTTACGACTGACCAGGGTCTGTGCTTGCAGACTACAACTAGGCGGCCAGTCTCGCTCTCATGGAGGGAATTCGCACAGAGCGGTAGATATTACGTCATAGTAGCTCTCTCTGATTGGATGACTTTCACCGAACTCTGCTGGGTCGGAATATTCGCCAAACAAAGTAAAACATAAGAAATTCAGATCACTTGTCAAGAGGCCCTCAGCGCAAGCGCCTCGGTTTCTCTGACTCGCTTCGCTCGTCAGAACTTAGAGACTCCAACAGCGCGAGGGCATCGACAAGAGGCTAGGTAAGGTCTAGTGTTGGATCCCGGGATGAAGTTCAGTATTTGGATAATAGTGTAGGAAATTGATGTTGAGCAAATGTCTTGAGGAACAAGTGTCGTACAATCAGATTTTCCAGGTGCTGGTGGAGCTGTATGTATTGATACTCATCATTGGCAGTTTAAAAATCTTCCTTTGTATTAGTAAACTAAAAATACGCTGATCCCCAGTTTGTGAAACGTGTATCTGATTTTTACGACCTGCTCTATTGTTTAGTGGTTATGTTGTAACACAAAATGAATTCTTAATCTTAATCCTGGATCCATAGCTAAACGTAATATTAACCCTAAAGCTAATCTAAAACCCTATCACAACTTGAGCAATAACCATATATCTTGATGAAATAAAGCTTGTGTTAAGCATTGGCAGACCCAAAGTCAGGTTATCCTAAATTCCTTTCTACATACTGCTATTGTACAAAGTTGATATTTAAGTACATCCCATTGCAAGTTCTAAAATTTCTGTAAAAACCTTACCCTGCTGCAAGATGATAGTGTGTGAAGTAAGTTGGCTCATAGTAGAGCATGAATTATTACCTGCAATTCTCAACCAATACACCCTTGCCACCTGCAATCCATCTCACTTTCATAATATATTCTTTAAACGACATTAACTGAAGTTCAAAATTTTGATTAGTGATTAAGAAAGGCTACAAAGAATTCTATTCTTTTTTCACACTAGTATAATAGAGGGGGAGGGGGGGGGGCAGCCTAGCAGTACAAGATCAAATTATCTTATATGATTATATCCTGCAAGTGTGATAAAGAAAAATATGTTTGTGTACTAAAAGTGAAACAAAAACAAATCACTGGAAACTTTTGGTTGTTAATAACTCAAAAGTTACACTCAAATCAAAACGAGGTTTTCAAAGCTCAAAGTTTAAGGATGTAAATTCTATGCCATTTCTATGAATGCTAATTGCTATTCTTAAAGCCCCACTGTCCTACTTGCTCTCTCTATATAGAAAACTTCCCCAATCGGTGTCTGTTGGTCCCCCATGATCCTCTTTTTCTTATGTTAGTTGAGAGCTGAGTTGATGAGATAGCCACCTGTCAGTGACCTGGCTGGGTGGTCTAATCCCTTCTGGCCCAGTAGTATTGACGGTCTTTAAAACAATGGTCGGAATGTTTGATTAGATCTTTTACTCAGACATGTAGTATATTAGTAATAAAATACATGTTTGGCAATATGGTATTTCATTTCAGACCATAATGAGATCTGGGATCTCTCGTTGGCACGGAAAATAAGGAATGTACTCCTGTTGAGCAAACAGTGAATTTATATAAAACTAATAGCCCTTTGAAGATTACTAGAAGAAGAAAAACAACAAGAAAGAAGAAAAAGAAATATACTTGTGATGTCAGCTTTAGATCTTAAAGTGCTTGTACCAATATTGGATTTTCTTTTCTTCTTTCAATTAACATTTTATTCATGAACAGCTGGCTTATTGGAATTGGTTACAAAGATACAAGTGGACTTGTCTGTAGTAGTTGCTGAAGAGGAGCAGTCAGCACAAGGAGCGTGTGCCTCCAAAACAACGTGGGAACTTCTCCCAAGTTCATCTCAAATCACAAGGCTCTTCAGGAATCAAGATGTAACAATGGAGGTTGAGAAGGAGTTTGCGACCCTCCTGATTTGGACTACTCGCTATATACATTCTCAAACAATGGATTGTAGCACTTCTGCACAAAACTCAACAAGTCATGATTGAGGAAAATGCAACAAATACTCAGTTGAGCATTGATTTATGTGACTGGTATTAGGGTAGGATTCAGCTTGGTAATTTTATATAAACTATGTCCCAAAAGAACCTCATTGGTCCTTATGGTTCCACGCCACAAGCTGCTCCCTCCCCTGTTTCGGTATACCGAACCCAGACTATCAAGGGATCAAATGAATTAAAATCCACACTTGATTACAAATGAATTGATCTTTTGAATATTGTCATCATTTCAGGGTGGTTTTGGTTACGGGTTAGTGTGAGCTTTCTGTGCGTAAAATTGAGGGTACTTCGTGCGGAGATCAGTGAATGGATATTTCATGTACAATGCAAGAGAGATGTCTATCTTCATTGGAATTCAGGATGTGAATTCCAATGAAGATGGCTTGTTTATAAGGAGAGAAGCAAGATAGATTGATGTAAACTTAATGACATCAGGGAATGTTTGCCTGTATTGTTTGAATGACACGGATATTGAATAACATGAAGTTAAGTGGAAAGAATGGCATAATATATTCGATTTGTACACCATCCTATTGAATTTTTTTAAAATAGCATTATATGATAACATTTGTGCACAGGTCTATGGAAAACCAGTAAGTGGCATATACAATAAGATCATTTACCGCAGCTCAAGGAATACCGTAGATATAACTTACCGTAGTTGCTGCTATTTGTGCCCACATGCATATTAATATCAAACAGTTGAAGCTAAAACTAATATAATCTAATTAACAGGGTTTTTTTTTCTCCAATTATCATAACAAGAGAGAAAAACATACTTTTATAATAACTTCCATTATTTCTTTATTTGATCCACGAGACTGAGTAGTCCAGCCCTTGTGAATCTGTATGTTCTCCAGATTTCATTGTCAGGGCCTATTAGGGGGGGGGGGGGGGGCGGATCTAGCTTTTTGCTAAGGGGGGGGGGGGGGTTGTCCCTATGACGATGCAGAGCATCGCCCACGAGCCGCATAGCGGCGAGGCGATTAACGCATTTATAAGATGGATTTTTTTTTTTTAATTCTCTCTCGCTGTCTCACTGCATTATAAATTTTTCATTTTCACGACATCAACATCTCTCACCATTAAACAGTTCTCTCATTTCCTTTCCTTTCTCTTTTGCTCTCTCTCTCTCTCTGAACGCTCACGTTCTGTTTCCAGATTTTGTCCACATATGATTCCATTTATCCAACCATATATGCACACTAAAAAGAAAAGATATGAAGGGAATACTGTATATAAGATAATAAACATGTTTAATTTATTCATTTTATTACAACAAACTAATATGTTTACAGATTATAACATTGATGGTCAAATATTAAGCACAAATGACCTCATCTGCTACTTCCATTTGTAGATTACTTTTTTCTTTAAAAATTCAACAAAGCATACTTAGGCTAAATCTGAGCACTGTTTTTTTCTCCAGGGAATGTATTGTATCATGACCTGCACCCTTATTATAAAACACATTATAAAAACATGCTGATTTCTTTAAAAAAAAAAAAAAATACCTATGACTCAATGATTGTAATTTTTTCCAGAGAAACAATAATACTGTACAATAGTATATAACATCCTTAAGTGTGATGGTTACTCCGTGGTCCACACACGCACCAAGGTATATCAGACCTTTTATTAACAGTTGCTTGTTTTATACAATATATAAATCATACTCATAGGCCCATTCCCAAATGTTATAATTATTATCAATAAACAGAAATTGATAAAAGATGACCCCTCCCCAAAACTCTTATATTCCAAAAGTTTGATCTTGGCTGACAGGTGGTAACTTGAGTACTTGACTACATCTTATTTGCCCTATAGACACATACTTAAAATGGATGCCTTGGCAAAGCCTCAGTTTTATAAATGATTGACTTAGACTGCCGATGAACTTATTTCTTGAGTATTTATCTACACCATTAACTTTTCTCCACATCGTGCTGTCAGATTGAGATGCTTTGGTGTGATATACTTAATGTTTTACATCATGTTTTTAATGAACTCCTACCTTGCTTAGTTATGCAGACATTGGGCCCTTTTTTTAAAACTTGCGATAGCAGTGGAAAGGATGTGCATAAAAGAAGAGGCGGGATATCCATAGTTACTACTACCATGTACTACTACCATGTACTACTACAACATGGGTAAAATTGCATCATTGTATTATACCTTGGTTCCTGGTTACCTCTCCTTGGTAGTTTGAAAACTATGTTTCAGTAAATTTCAGCTTCGGAGGGGGGGGGGGGGCACATTACCCCTCAACCCCCCCCCCCACCCCTGTGCGCGCTTTTGACTGATGTGTCCCCCCAGGAGTGGCGGAGCGTCTTCCAAAGTGGGGGGGGGGGGCACCAACAAAATAGGCACTTTCTGGAAAAAAAGGGAATCTCAAAGCGAAAATATCCATTTTTTTAGACAATGGTATATACCCCTACATTGTGATTACATTATCAGGGACGATTTCAACATTTGTTTCTCTTTATACACCATACAAGATATTGCTTAAGTATCAGTTTGGTGTGATGGTATGAAAATTGATTTGCGAGCGAGGAAAATTTTAAGTTTTGTGAGGTCGCAGTACAAAAAATTGCATCTTATTAAGAGGGAAAAACCCAATCCTGATGGGGTTATAAGCACATTCTCACAATGGAAGACTGAAAAGACCTTTAATAAGTAACGTAATTATATCATCTATAAATGCGAGCGAGCTTTGGGGGAACTTACTCTTAGTCGCTTGAAATTAGGGGCGCGTTTAATGATGAGAGGAAAAGGGGACACTACAGGGATAAGGGGAAAAGGAGCATGTGTCAGGTAAAAAGGGTAATTATCAGAGGTGAAAATGGGGCACTTCTTAGACCTACAGAAAGAGGCACTCACCAGGAATGAAAAAAGGCACTTATCAGAATGGGAATTCTCACGTGATTGGGAATACTTGATAACACTATAGTCTAAGTTTCATTGACTAAAAACTTAAACTTTGAAAATTATATCAAAAATTCAAAAACTTAACCTTAGGTTAAGTTTTTGATGTTGACGCCGTCACCGCCGCCGTCACCGGAAAAGCAGCGCCTATGTCTCACTTTTTGCTCGTAGGCGAGACAAAAAGGGAGGTGCAGATCAGATTTTAATAGGGGCATTTATTGGAGGTGAAAGGGGGCTATAATGAGAATGGGGAAGTGGCTCTTATTAAAAAGAAAAAGAGGCACATGTTAAAGTAAACAAGGCACTTATGAGAGATGAAAAGGGGTAATTATGAAAAGGGCAAGGGGCATTTATTAGGAAGGAAAAGGGGGCGTATCAAATAAAAGTGGCAGTTATTAGAGACAAAATGGGACACTCATCAGAGATGAAAAGAGCACTAATCAGGAGATGGAGGGGGCACTTATCAAAAGTGAAAAGGGGCATTTCTCGTAGTTGAAAAGGGGCACTTACTAGAGATTAAAAAGGGCAGTTATGAGAATGGAAAATGAACACTTATTGCATAGAATAATGGGAACTTGTCGAAGGATAAGGGGCACTTATCAGAGGTGAAATGGGGAAGGGGCAATTTTACAAATTAAGTAAGTGTCAAAGTAATATGGCACTTTACCTATGTGAAAAGGCCATAAAAGGGGCATACTGGGGGTACTTGAAAAAGTGGGGGGGGGGGGCACTGACCCCTCCCCCCTGGCTAACAACATATCTCCGCCACTGGTTATGAAGTTTATAATACCAAGGTTTTGATACCCAGTCGCAGCTACAGCAGTTCATTGAAGAGGCTAAGTAGAACTTCATAGTCCATACTGTACATGTATGTCTGTTGAATGAAAAGAGAAGAGAATGAAAGTTGAACATTGATACCTACATCATACATGTATCTCTGTTGTAACATAAAAATGTCTTGCATGTACATTGTAGGCCTAGGCCTCAAATTTTTTCATGTGGAATCATACATAGCCATCCCATTAATACATACTTCTCAAACCAGCCCTTCGCATCCCCTCCAGCTTGGCCTTGACCTCACTCATTTCAAAATGTTGTTTTACTTGAAAAAAAATAAACAGATCAAGTTAGATCAAAAGTAAATATGTTTACCTTCTCTTGTGGTGGTCTGTTTTCTCCAGGACATTCTTGTTTCAAGCACATACTCCAAGAAAGCAAGCATTTGGTACTGCATGCATTAACTGCGACAAGTGTCTCTGTACATTTTCCTGTAAAAGAGAGGGGGGGGGGATTTAATTCTTAGAATAAAAGGAAATGAGCATGATCATTTAAACATTGATGAGCATTTGCAGAATTAACTGTTCTATTTTAATTTGGATTTTCTCTTTACCAAAAAAGCCCTCCTTCATTATCTAACATTGAAATTTATATTCAATTCCTTGATCCAGATCTAGTTGATCTACAGTCTCTAGATGATCTAGATGCATGTCTTGTAACTGTTCATTCTATCAAATTGAAAAAACGCAAAATAGGTATGGACCTAGATCTATATATGACAGAGAAAAAAAGAGAGAGAGAGAGAGAGAGAGAGAAGGAAAAGAAAGAAAAAGGAGAGAAAGGGAAAGAAAGAAGAGGAAGAAGAAAAGAAAATGGGGAAAAGGAGATCGGGGGGCCGAAAGGGCCTTGCCTCCCAGCTGTAACCTCTCCCCCTCCCCCCATCAAAAAATAAAAGAGAAGGAAGGAAAGGGAAAGAAAAAAAGTAAAGAGGGGATAAAGAGAAGGAAAAAAGAGGAAGAAGAAAAGAAGGGGGAAATCAGTTACAATTTTCCCGCCAACAAGTTGTAGTTCGGGGGGTGGGAGGGGGGGGGCAAAGGCCCTTGCCTCCTCCTCCCTCCTCCCCCCCCCCCCCCCCCCCAAAAAAAAAAAGGAGAAGGAAGGGAAAGGGAAAGGGATAGAGGAGAGCTAAAAGGGAACAAAAAAGAGGAAAAAGAAAAGAAAAGAGAGATAAGAAGGGGAGAACAGTTGCGATTAATCCCGCCAACAATGTGTGGATCGGGGAGGGGGGGGGGGCCAAAAGGCCCTTGCCTCCCCCTAGCAAACCTAAAACAGAGAGTAGGAAGGGAAAGAAAAGGGAAATAGGAGAGAAAGGGAAAGAAAAAAGAGAAAGAAGAAAGGTAGGGGAGATCAGTTACGTGTAGATCGGGGGGGGGGGGGGGGGGGGAGGGGCACTGGCGTACTGATGGGGAAGGGGACTTGGGGGGGGGGGGTTGACAGATGCCCCCCAAATATAATTCAAACGTGGTTTATTTCTAATTCGATACCGGTGATTACCGGTGATTTACAAATGTTGCTGAAATGACATAATTTTCCGAGATTTTTCCTTAATGTTTTTTAATAAATTATACTTTTTAATGCGTTTGTGGGACAATGGCAAATTCATAAAGAAAGAAAGAATAGTGACGCCAATTAGTGTCCTGCCAGTGTCACAAATAAGTTATGCTAATATGCTCATCTGACCGCAATTAAATGCCTATACCCCTGAGCTTCTGGGGGTTCCACCCCTTGACCCCCGCTCGTTCTTTGCCCTTAGACACCACGCCAATTTCACAACGCTCTACTTGATCGTAAATACCTCCCCCCCCCCCCCCCCCCCCCCCCTTCACCTACTTAGAGAAACGTTTAGCGGAACCTGCATGAAAGAGTGGGGTGGTGCAGATTTTTTTCAAATTTGGGCTCCCCCTAAGAAATCCTGGATCCGCGCCTGTTCACAGGTAGTCCAATTATTTACTGGTCTGGAGGCCTAGGCCTCAAATTTTCTACTCTCGTACTCGTCTAACTATCTCGGTATCTGGTCCAAATTTTGGCGCTTGTTCACAACTCATGTCAACTGTGACCATGCTTTTTAGTGTTAGCTATTAACTTTCTTCTGACCCAACTATGAAAGTGGTTTTTCAACAGTTGGACCTAAAAGTAATAAAAAGCTTGGATCATTGATGCAGCTAGCGCTAGTGAAGTGATCTGCCTATAGACCCTATACTCGTATCTAATTTTCAGAGAGGGTCTCGCGCGAAAGTTTGGGCCAAGGATCAAGGAGTGACGATGGCAATCGAGCTGAAATATTCTCACGACGATAAATAACGAATCAAAAGTTCGAGTGTAGATTACTCCTAAATTCATCAGATATAACCATTTTAAACCACTTCACAATGTACAGACAAATCAGCAGATTCATACCTACAGCAGATATGTTTATAAATATGATTCAATTTACGAGATTTGAACGTAATTACAGCTGTACTCACCATCAAACTTTCAAAGAAAACCTCGAGCTCTCACTCTGTGTGGGTGACGTCATACATTAAATATGCATGCAGCGAAAGTCTTGTCTTCAGATCAGGCAATCGTACATAAAAACTTCCATCACAGATAGAAAAATTTATTATTAAAATAATGAGGATGATTACAGTTATCAATCATTATAACCAAATCTGCATACAAATAAGAAGGAGAATGGTGATACAGAGACTTATTTACCGCACGTAGGATTTCTGATAAGAATGCACAAAGAACATAAAATGGAAAGGTGCCTGGAATAGAGGATAATAATATCAGTCAAGCTCATGAATATTCATATTATGGGCGTTACCAACCATTGACATTTGCATACACAATCGTTATTTAATATATAATGGAAATGCGCTTTTCATTATATATTATATAATGGAAATGCGCTGTTCATTATATATTATATAATGGAAATGTGCTTTTCATTATATATTATATAATGGAAATACGCCTCTCATTATATATTATATAATTGAAATGTGCTTTTCATTATATATTATATAATGGAATGAGCTTTTCATTATATATTATATAATGGAAATACGCTTTTCATTATATATTATATAATGGAAATGTGCTTTTCATTATATATTATATAATGGAAATACGCTTTTCATTATATATTATATAATGGACATGTGCGTTTTATTATATATTATATAATGGAAATACGCTTTTCATTATATATTATATAATGGAAATGGCTTTTCATTATATATTATATAATGGAAATATGCTTTTCATTATATATTATATAATTGAAATACGCTTTTTATTATATATAAATAATGAAAGTGTGAATTGTAATTATTTATAAATAATGGCAATTATATATAAATAATGAAACGTTCTTTGTCATTATTTATAAATAATAAAAATGTGTTAAGAATTATATACAAATAAATATGTACATTTTCTTGCATTATATGTAAATAATGGTTATTATTTGTTAAATAATGATTATATAACATATAATTTGTCTATATAATTGTTTTACAAACGGCGCCTCATAGATTCTAGGCTACTGACTAGACTCTAACTTTAAAAGACTGCCGAAATCGAAAGACTTCCGAATTCTGAGTTTGCCCGAAATGATATGAGATAGGGAGAATTGTTTATACCAAACAAAATTTAACAAAGATAAATCCTCTTTATTTATTTTTTTCTACAGGTGTTTTTTGTTTTTGTTTTTTATTTGACTCAAATCATTAAGAACAAAGCTAGATCCTACAATGTATAGAGCCGAGGGGTCTACATCTAACTTAGATATAGATAGAAATGACTGAAGTAAAAATGCGATTGTCATGTATTCTGTATGGATTGAATCACACCTAGTTAATCATCGTTGTATTGATAATTGATAATTTTTTACAAAAAGTGGAATTTACCATATCTTTTTCTTTCCATTTAGATTGTGGCTTTGACTCATCAGCATTCAAGCTGCTTGATGCAAGTCTTGTGAAGGACGTGATCCCGCAGTTGGGTCCAAGACTTAAATTCATTAACCGTTTTGATAACTGGAAGAGAAAGGTTAGTAAGCAGCCATAAGATATTCCTGGAAAGAAAATGTTTTCGTGTTGCAAATGTGTGAAATCATTTGAAAAAAGTGGGGATCTATGGAACCATTTAAAGATCCATAACATCAATACGAAGACCAGAACAAAACTTGTGTGTCATGTGCAAGAATGTTTTAAAACATTTTATCATGGTTATAGCTACAAGCGGCACTTACAATATCATGATTCCATTGCACAAAATGAACAGGAGGTTCATCCATTTTAACTCGGGCTTGATTTGATAATGATTGATATCTTAAGAGTTCCATTATTATTGATCAGATCTTGCAGACATGAAAGTCATCACTGAATGGTTGAAAAGTCATAACACCCCCCAAAAAGATGTTGTGGCCAAAATGCAGCTGACATCAGCATATAGAAAAGACTTTGTACATTCAACACTGCCGGGAAGTTCCAGGAAAAAGCCTTGTGTGGCTGAAGTGCTGGATGAGTTTCCACATCTCCTTTCCCCTGGAATGGTAAGTAAATGTTTCATTACCTTTGTTAACTGTCATTACGGTTTAATAAGCAGGTCCCTTATCTAACGAAATCAAGATGAAGGATATTAATACAGTCGGTTATAGATCTATGTATGTGATATACGCATGTACACATAAAAATAACTGCTTTTTCTGTTATATCTACATGGAGCATTCAACAAAAACAAAAAAAATACCTGCACACATTCTGAAAATGACATTGTATGAAGAACTCCTCAAGAATCGTCCAGTGAAGTGGTTAGAAAAGTAGGTTAGGGTCTTTCTTTTTATTTCACCCACTTTATTAATTGTCCAGACATGTTATCTATATTTTCTTTTTTATCTTTTTTTTGTTGATTTCATTCCCAGAGGAATTCCATGATTCAAAATGTTACATTTAAGCAAATTTGACTGGGATAAATTTGATACAGTTTATTCAATATCTATTTAATTTGAAGTCCTAATCTTGTAAATATGCATTCACCCACCCAAGTATTTGCTGGATCACATTGCAGACTGTGCACGACTTGTTTTACTTGTACTATTCTTATGATTTTCATGTCAAATTGATGCAGGCCAATACATGGCCAAAAGAAGAAAAAAAATACACCCATAAAAAAAGACAATGAGATATGCATGCTATAGATTTTATCTTTCTGATTCATAGATTGAGCAAGACTACGAAATGCTGTTTTCGGGGAGAGGAAAGCACCTCTATACAAAGTGGCCGGTGGTGTCTGCGTGCATCCTAGAATATGTAAACCGAGTAAGCCCAGGGTGGTAGGCCAGATTTAACGTTCAGCATAGAAAAGACACAGACTTCAGTCAAGGTATGATATTGTTTACAGATATAGTAAGCAAATTGGCAAATAATTGTACTGCTCGCTTCACCATCACCCAAAGTTTTTCTGTAGTTCTTATTGTGTTATGAAGAAAATCTATGATTGAGTAGTTTGTACCAAAATAAACAAATTTTCAGATTAAATGTTATTCACATTATGTTTGAAGAAGGAACAAATAACAAACCCATATATACATCGGAAGGGGGGAGGGGTTAATTTTGACTGTGCAGTTGTGATTCCATCTATTTTATTTATTTTTTTCATTTATAGATTTCAGCATTAAAAGTCGTCACAAAATTATTTTTTTTAAGTCGATGGATACAATGAAGGCCGAGTCAAATAGTGCATGAAAATATGATAAACATGTATCATCAGTCTAAAGAAATTTTCTTTAATATTATTGATACAGATGAGAGGATGAACCTGGCATTTTGCCTTCTCTCGCATTTGTTCCCTGGAAAGAAGTCAACAAAGGGAGGAAGAGCTTCCATCCAAGAAGCCTTGGATAATTTCATTGACTTTCAAAAGGTAATTATAGCAATGAGAAGATTCATGGCCATTCCAAAAAAGAACTGTTTTTTTTTTTGGTAGATTGGGAAGGGGAAGTGGTTAGAGGGTAAGAAGGTGAAAGTGAGAAGCATTACATGAAATAGCCCTTCTCTCAAATTTTGTGGGATGATACATTCTATGGCAAATATTTCACAATGGGCTGTGGATATATGTGGCACCTTAGCTGGAGATATTTCTACTTATTTTTGCAACTTTCCAAGACACAATATCACTATTGTTTCTTTCCATACCCAGGAATAACTAAGTTGGTCGATAACAATGTCACTGTATATTTAAAGATTAGATTTAATGGTCAGTCAAATAAGTAATAATACCCCCTGGATAATTTCTGATGCACCTAACATTACATTTCAACTGTACTTCAGCATATGAGAGTGTGTTACAAGCAATTATTATGCACATTTCATGGTGGCAATTTTTTTTCTTTTCTTTCATGTCAGGAGGGGACCAATGTAGAGGCATACAAATCTTCGCATGGGAGGAACCAACCTTTCATCCTAGCCCTAGGAGGACACTTCTGCAATCCAGCTCAGACTTTTGTTGTATTGGAGCACCACGTTCTTGAGCAGAAGAGTCTCGTTGCAGCTGTAGATTTGTGCTACAAGATCTTTCAGATCTTTGATCTACAGTATCCATGCCAGGCAAGAGCAATGTGGGTCGTGATGGACACCATTGCTTTTGATGTCAAACCAGGAGCTCAAGAGTCTGGTGCAGTGAGAGCCTTCAGGGCATATTACCATTTCAACCAGAAATGAAGCCTTGGAATGTGTTGTTCTATCAACAGGCCTTTTGATATTGAAATGATCACTTAGAAAATTGTCATTAAAAAGAAAACGGATTTATGAACCCCAAACTATTATAATATTTTGAAAGAGTAACTCCTTCCACATCTTCGGTACCATTTTTGTGTGGTATGTGTTTACGCTTGGATGAACATAGCACATTGATCAAAAGATGTAAAAAGTGTCAAAGTAGGGGTGTAGTTGAAATAACCCCCCAAAAAACAACCCCACACATATCAAACTGGTGTAACTTTTTAACGGAACAGTATTGAGCAAAATAACTTAAAAGAAGTGTTCTTACACCTAACAACTACATTCTGTGTAAAAAATGAGATAGATCCGTGGAGCCATTCACGAGTGAGCACACGTCAAAGAAAACAATGATCACTTTTCAAGAGTATCAATAATCCTTTTTATGTCTATAAGTGACCATTTTCTCTTTGATGTGTGCTCACTCATAGAATACTTGATAGATCAATCTAATCTTTACACAGAATTTAGTCGATAGGTGTAACAGCACTCTTGCTAAGTTACTTTGCTCAAAACCTTTTCGTTAAAATGTTATGCCACTTTGATCAGGATGGAGTTGCTTTTTTGTTGTTTTGATTTTTGGCACAAGTCGAATTATACATGTTCGCAAACAATGCACCATGTTCAACCAAGCATAAACACATTCCACATTAAATGGTGACGAAGATGCGGGAAAAGTTACTCTTCCAAAATATGTATAATTTGGGGTTCATAAATTGGTTTTCTTTATAATATAAAAATTTTCTAAGTGTTTAGTTTTTTTTATTCACTTGGTAATGCAGCACAGTTTTTAGATTTACAATTCCTGTTGTTATCTTAGGATTTTAATAACATCATATTCATGTTCTTTGGAAAAACCAATCATACAGAAAGATGCTTTGCAATGTGCTCTCCATTGTTTTCTCAAATAATCAACAACTCTTCGAATTTGTAACATTTTGAATTAGCATTGGTTTTTATATGAGGGCAACTCTTGTGTTGCATATTGTCCTGGGCATGTTTCATTGTTGTAGTTATATGCAGCCAAAACGTTAACAGCATATATTGAGATTTTTATTGTGAACCAAATTTATGGCTTATGTACATGCCATTTTCTGTATTTGTTAATTATATATATGCCAATACAACAAAATACAAACAAAAATGTGGCCAGGACTACTTCACACAAATGGGGCTAACATCATGGTTTTTGCGAAACCCATAAACTGGCACTGGTATGAAGCCATTCTACTAATTCTGAGTGGATATTGGGTGTGAGTGCATGAGTGAAAAAGCCAGAATAATAGTGACCACGGTTTCTATCAGCTACATTTTTAGTGTTTTTCTTTTTGTAAAAACAATGAGAAATTACATGGAACAGATGCTTCAGCCTTCTTCAATTTTGACACAAAATTGCATACTTTTTCATGCTGCGAAAATTTGTTAGAATCAGCTTGAATATGAACATTTTTGAAAAATGGAAGATTAAAAAAAATTGTATTTTTTCTGTCCTAAGCGTGTTAAGTGTTAAAAACCAAGAGCCATTTTTTCTTGTTTGCTCTGCAGATTATTGAAGTTCTTTTGAGGTCAAATTTTAGAGGGTAGACTATAATCATCTGATCATTATCTCTAATTGCTAAATACAAAAGTGTCTTATTTTTCTAATTATGCAACTAAATTTTACTTCTTGTTTCTACAATAATAAATGTTGGGCTTCTTTTTTTCTCCCTTCTTTTTTTTTTAGGCTGAATTTCCTTAGATTTTTTAATGTTCTGTGTTTTGATATGCATTTTAATATTTGCTTTCTTGTTATAAGATGAAGAAATTAAAAGATCTTTTTGTAAACTACACACCGGCATTAAGGTACCGCCTGCTTTGTAACGTTATGGAGTCTTTTTCAGATATGTTTTTTTTTTTAATTTGGACAATTATATACTGGCATATTCCACTTTTCTGTGAGTTTCATGCATACTGGTTTTGAGGCTCTATTTATATGCATAATTTCATAACATAACATCATTCCGTCTTGGCCTTGGAGTTCATTTTCAGCAGAGTTTAAAGATATGTCCTGTAAAAAGGAACATTGGGGTCCATGATGACATTACCAAATAAAAATTGATTTACATAATGAATTGCTAATTTATGACTAAAATGACGTTTACACATGACACATATGAAAAAGGACACATGGTCAAATTTGATGTAAAACATAAATTAAACCACAAGGAGCATTGTGAAAGGAGTTTTCTGGCCTTATTTTAGTAAAAAGAAAATTACCTGAAATTTGAGTAAAACACACTTTACTATTCACTGAGTAAAACAAACCTCAATAATGGGTAAATATTACCCATCTAGTTGATTAAAAACCTTTACTCAATTCTGACCATGTGCCCATACGACTTCATTTTGAGTAAAATTTTACTCAATATTTCTTAGAGTGTACGCTGTTGGGGCCAGCATCAGCTTAGTTCTTAAAGGGGCCCTTGTGAGGGATGACCTCCCCAACGACTCGACGACAGTCTATTGTCTACCCTGCACCTCTCGGACTTTAATAGGCCTCTATTTTTTTCTTCGGGGAATCTATATTTACTTGTTGTGCTTTGGACCCCTTTCCCTCACATAACAACAGCAACACAAATTATTATGATTTATAACTTCCAAACGTGGATTTGTATTTTGTATTTTTTTTTTAAATATCTGGCTTTCCTACTAAAATATTTGAATTATTGTAAATTGACTTTTGATTTAAGGGGTGAACTTGATCATCTTATCATGTATGTCCCTTTTACATATTCACTGATTTAACTTTTTCTGGATACATGATGATCATTCATAGTCCGATCTTATGTTGTAACGAAATCTTCCTGCAATTGTCATACAAACTACCGTTTGTAACCGGAGAATAAATGCTTGATTTGCCCCGATTATTAAAGCCAGGTTAATTGCATTGCATTCTAGTGAAGAAATGTTTAGGAAACATACGCGTCTGGCCCGTTTGAAGCATAGGCCTTACATGCCGATTAATGCCCCTAGCAATAGAGAAAATGTTCTATCATACCTGAAAATTGCCTTATTATTATTGCTTGCTCATTAGTCCTCAGTAACAATCTGAGATTAACCATGTGGACTTAATGCATGGGGAAACTCCTTCTGCCCTATTAAACGAATGGCAAGCCATGTGGATGATGGACTCCATGTAAGTTTTATTCAGAGAAAAAGCATAAGAAGCGGCATTGTCTAGAAAAGCCCAGAAAACTGCAGTGATAGAGAAAAGCACGCAAAAAGTTGTCGGCCTAATTAAATGGCATCAAAATCAAAATGGCATTAAATTGTAATGAATATACAACAAACGGCACATCGAATGATAAAGAGGAATTCAGGCAACTTAACATAATGGGCGAACCGTTCTGTTAACGCTGGAGGGGAATTCTCCATTTAAACTTGGAAAGAGCAACATTTTTGTTCACAGGTCTTACAAGGGCGAGCATCAAACATCGCCTAGAAATCCACATTTGAATAATTTTGAGAAAACTGCGAAGATAGGATGCTCGCAAAACATATTTAGGCCAACCTACTGAGGAAGTTAGTGTCCTGAACGGGTATAATATTTAATAGGGCAATGTAAAGATAATGAATTGCATTTGCTCGCTTTGATGGGGCAATTTTTTTGTAGTCAAAATCCGTATTGGGTAAGAAAATCTGAATTTTAATAGCTTGCCTATAAAACCTCCCTGCCTATAGCCTTTCTTATGGAAAGAATACTGGAACAAACCACGCAAAACAGAAACAGCCAATACAAAAAAAGGCATTTGCGGTGTCTGGTTCCCCCCCCCCCCCCCCCCCGGCAAAAAAAAAACGCCGGCCAAAAAAAAAGAGAGAGATAAAAAGAAGAAAGGAAGAGGACGTAGGAAGAAAAGGATTAAGTGTCGAGAACGGTACAACGAATCGTCTTCTTTCTCTAATAATTTAAGGAAAAGGATTAAGTGAGAACGGTACAACGAATCGTCTTCTTTCTCTAATAATTTTAGGAAACGTCAAAGCTGGGGGAAAACTGAATTCAGACAAGGATTATGAGTCGATCGAGAATTGTACAACGTACGAATCGTCTTCTTTCTTTAATAATCTAATGAAACGTCAGAGCTTCCGGGCTACGAGCGGAGGAAGGGGCACTTGATTCACATAGGATTAAGAGTCGAGGATGGTCCAACGAATCGTCTTCTGTCTCTAGTAATTTAAAGCTTCCGCGCTTCTCCCCCTCCCTGCACCCCCCACCCCCAGGAAGCGCTACGCGCGCTCTGTAAGTGATTTGCACGCTTCGCGTGCTCACTACCGCCCCCCTCCCAAGCCCCCTCCCCCCCCCCCAAAAAAAAAAAAAAATAAATAAATAAATAAATAAATAGATAAATAAAAATAAATAAAAAAAATAAATAAATAAAATAAAATAAAAAAATTAATTGATTAATTTAAAAAAAAAAAAAATAATAATAATGAAATCCTGGCTACGCGTTATGTTTTAATACATGATTTACATCGACAAAATCACAAAGATAAATGTGATCTGAATGGCAAAGTAATTATCGCCCTCTTTAGTCCTTGCTGTGCTGTATACACAAGCAATGTTTACGGAAATAACTAGCGCATTACGTGCATGCAATTTATAGCTAGCTAGCTAGGCAAAGCTGCAGCGCAGGTTTGGATGCGAGGTCGCGTCGAGGTGTAATTTATCCATTCCACTAGCTGGCTCCGAAATGCGATTTATCATTTCTTGTAATACATGTAGCTGAAGCAAGGTGATGTTTGTGTTGCTCACCTCACTGGACTTATTCTGGTTTTAATTGAATCTACAAGCAATGTCTGAGAAAGTAATTATTGGTGAGTTTTCGAGCAGCGATCATATTCATAATCATAGACTGTTGTTTCCTTGGCAGCGAGCCGAGAGGGGCGATCCCGCTTGTGGTCTCGCCTTGCTTCCCCTGGCCGCTCCGCGTACTGTATCATCGGTGTTGCGTATGGTTCATTCGGTAGAGGCAGTAAATGCAATAGACCTACGGGCTTTAATTTCTTGACATTTTACGAATGTGCCCAATGTAAATTTAATTAATATAGGGAGTGTACTCTCGAGTATTTTTATTGGTTTTAATTGACATTGGAATGATGAATTTAGCATGATTCCATTAAATAATGACCTTTTTTTTTAGCAAGTGAGGTTCAGAAATAACCGTCTGGTATGGTGAATTCTTTGAAAAAATTAAATAGTTTTGTGAAAGATTTCACCTGCCAGACAGCTAGTTCTAAGAAGTGAGATAACTCCAGGGAGTCCATCGGCGTCGGAGCTCCCTGAAGTTAGGTCTGAGACTGAGAGTGAGATCCTTCTTCTTCTTCTTCTTTTTCCATTTTGAGTACATCCCTCTAGTCTTTAATACAGAGTATTGTCGTACTATACTGTAGGGTCTACTGGGGTGTGCAAGTGGACCACTACACCAGGTTTCCCCCTACTCTTATACTGTATGAATAGTGCTGTGGGTTCTTCACGTGCAAAGGTAGAATACTCTTCTCTACATGGGGGCCTGTATTTAACATCCTATCATAGGGACGGAGTGTTTCCAATTAACATAGCCTGCGTCTATGAAACATGGGGAGGGGGCATGTTAACACACCACGCAGGCTTCACTCATCCCCTGGGTGGGATTCAAACCCGAGATCTTTGGTTCGACAGGCAGAGGCTTTCATACTGACTGGGCCAACTCGCCTCCCTTCGGTGTAGACCGGGCCTTCTCAACTGGCGGCGCGGGCGCCACTTGTAGCGTGTGCGGTCAGTCGGATTTGCATGCGGCTGTTGCAAAAATAATATTAAAAAAGAAAAAACTTACATGTATATGTTGATATTAAAACACTCAGCACAATCAAAAAGTGGTAGTGGAAGTTGAGCCCCATTGACATTTCCCGTGTTTATTGCACCAACATATGAATTTACATCTAGTGTATTTGGACCTAGGAATTGTACTTATTCCTTAATACATCAATATGAAATTATGATTGATATATTTTTGAATAAAAAGGTGTTAAAAATGCCACATCTGGGCCTCTAAAAAGCCCTAAAATCCATCAGCTTTCCTGGACCCTGCCTGTTGTCATATGTTTCACAAAAATGGTCTTTCCAAAACCAATCATAACTTCTGCACTGGGTGACTTGTTGCATCTCCAAACCAGTTGTACCTTTTTAGGACAGCAGCTTACTGTACATTGTAATTCAATTCTTAGCTCGGTAGCAGAAAAAATCTTAACAGTAGAAGAAAAGAAAAAAAGTTTAAAAATCTTGTTTAAAATTTAGCTTAGTCTCTTTAATCACTCTACAAAATCAACCGACTGACCCAATTGCTTGCACCCAAAGGGAAATACAACATCTTTTTCTTCATGACCTACACATGTAGCATGCATGCAATGACTATGTCCAACATTAATTTGCAAGTTATTTTTACCTTGTGATTTGGGTGTTGGAGCTAATTAGAAGATTTTTTTTTTAAAGATCCCTTTAAAGAAGTGTTACTTGAACTTGAAGCTGATATCTTTAAAGATAAAGACCAGTTTAGTCATGCAATTGCATTGTGAAAGAACTGAACGTTGTGGAATCGATCAGAAAAGGTTGATCATCTAGCGTGTACTGCAAGGTTCTGGAATCATCACAATGATAAGAAATTTGGCCCAGTCTTGATAAAGTTACAAGCACTGTACACAGAAAGATGTATATGGAACTACCCCACACGTGCGCGACGCGTCCGTTATATCTATCAGGTCCAAATAGATGTCATAATTTACCCAATATATATCAATTAGTAGGCGGTTTCTCGGCAAAATTTGTATGATCACGTATTAGTCAAAACATACTTGTATTCTTTCACATGATTGGTAATAAGAGCTTCCATTTCATTTTTTGAGAGGGGGGTGTTTCCAAAACTGGTCTTTACCTTTATCATATATGGTACATGTACGTACATGTACATGTACAGTGTACAGGCCCGGAACTGGAACTTCTTTAAAAGACTATTTTGAGGTGTGAGTCCCCTTTAAATGTGTTGAAATAACCATTTTTTATGTGTGGATGATATTGAAAATGCAAGTGCAAGTGCAAGACATACATTTATGTACTTTGTACAGTATGCATGGTACATGTACATTATAGGCAATATTGTTGTACTTTAATATATGATGTTGCATTGAAGCCTGTATTGAAAGGAAATAATCAAAGGAGAAAGGAAGTGAAAAGAAGTTGCGACCTTGCCACCCATGCGCTGACAAACCTGGCCTAGCGCCAGCCAGCTTTCATTTATATCTTATCCAGACTTCAGCTGCGGATCTGGATCTAAAGTGGGAGTGACAGTGTGAAGAACAACAAAGTCCTTCTTTAATATTGGTTTGCATAAAATCACAGGTGTATTAAATCTGCATTAGCCATAAATATGTACATGTACATGTATTAAATGATTTAAATCATTTAAATCATTCACTGATACCCTGTTTATTTTCATTTTTTAGGGGGAGGGAGTTAAAATTGGAAAGCAACATGTTTAATGTCTTTACTTTCTTTTTATTTCTCTGTACAGTCACTTCCAGATAAAGTCCACATCACATGACTGGACTAGCCTTCCAGGTAATTCCTTTAATCCATCACCATGACAACGGATGTGAGACTGGTTACTCTGGATGCCATGCCGTCTACCACTGAAGACTCTTCAAACAGTAACACCCTCTACACGCAGAGGGAAGACGAGGAAGGGGAAGGAGGGGAAGACACCCCCTCACCCCTTGTCAACCAGACCCTCCCCCACCACCCAGGTAAACCTCACCGGAGGTACTCCACCCAACCTCAAGACTTGAAAGTTAGATGCCGCACATCCTCCGGAGACTCCAACAATTCTCTTGTCTTTGGAGCAAGAACATCTCCTCTCATGAACATCGTCTTCCTCGACGATTTCGTCAAAGAGGAGATAGGAAGTGGCTTCTTTGCCACTGTTTACAAGGTACGCCTAGTAAGATACAGGGTTATTTTCTAGTGTTCTATTCATTTCATATTTTCAGTAGGACTCTACATGTATGCCAGAGTTCGCTGAGGCTTAGCAACCCAGAATACATTGTCATTTGCAAGGTCATAAGGTCAGCTGTTGACGATGTGTTCTAAAGTTCACAAAGTCAAATTGTTTACACTCTGTTTCATACAAACATGTTTTGTAAATATCTATACAAATAATAAAATCCCATCCTGTTCATGCCTCCGCACACCAAAGGTGGTGCAGGAGGTATTATGTGTTGGGGTTGTTCGTCCGTCCAGCAATAACGCAATATCTCAAGAACCACTTGAGATATGAACCTCAAACTTAATGATACAGTAGTATGTATCACCAAAGCAAGACAACCTGATATTACAGGTTTTAGCCTTGCTATTGCAATTTCTCACGAACCACAAGAGATAGGCTTTTTGTTTTTATTGTGATATATCACAAATAATTACATACATTTGCTATGATTGTAGGTCTTCTTTTACATTGGCATGCAAGTCTATAGTCTATACATTAGGTTTACAGATTATGCTGCATGTTCATGTGGGTAGACCTCTTGAGTCGTGAGTAACATTACCAGAGTTTAATAGGGTTACAGTGTTGAATGAAGCATGCTCGTGTGTAAACAGGAGTTGATCTTTAGACACTATTTACATGTCAACAGATGGTTATCAAACAAACACAGACTTTAACCTCATGAATGTGTGAAAGAACTGTAGACTAGAATGCGTAATTACCTCGTGCACCCTGTGTTCAACCAAGAAGTTTTAAGAGCTGGAGTCATATCTAGCTCATTCCCTTTGTACCATCTTCACTGCTGCAAGGAGAAAATATGTCAGGCATGAGCCACTTGACAAAAATCAGTGACAAATCTGCTGATAACCAATCAGAAGCAAGGATTTCTATAGCTTACAACAATAACTGTCATTTGTCACTGATGACATCAGACAAGTTTTGTGGAATGGGGCCCTGGTGTCCTTTTGATATTTTCTTTTTAATGTGATATCGGGTTTAACAGTATGTAGGTTACGGTAATACATATTGTTGAACTTTAAGCTACATGTACATGTACATGTACGTGTATAACTGATTTAACTGATTTCATAAAGTGTAGAAACAATTGTACATTATATAAAGTGGCTTAGTTCAAGGAATAAATCAATTGATCTTGCACTTGACAACATGTATGTGTTTGTAACATGGGGATACACACTTGCCTACAGGTGAAAGGTTACACCTGTATGTCAGAGGTTACCTTTGTAGGGGGGCAAGACACAAAGTACCTCTTTCATTGGCTCCATGTATGTTTTCAGTTCATGCTACTTCTCAACTTACAGTTACAGGTGTATATGTCACCAAAACATGTACATTATAAATGTAGGTCTACATGATTGCATGAGCTTTTTACTATCTGTACCGGTATGCATAAAGCCCTAGATGTAGGCGCCCATGTGTCCAGGGGACCTATTAGTGTCGAGCTCTGCATGCATACATGTACATGTACATGTATGTTTCTTTTATAAAATGATGAAAGATAACAATCTTTTCAGGGCCACATCCCTGAACATGTACCCCCCTCCCCCTCCTGCCCTTGAATTCCACCCCTCTGCCCCTCCACCCCCTCCACCCCCTCCTGCCTTTCCACCCAAGGAGCTTCAAACACCAAAACCTACATGCACATGCAGGCCTACACTACATGTACATGTCTAATAATAGAATTCATGTACATGTATGCAAACATTGAAACTTGAAAGCATGCCGAAGGGGAACTAAGACAGTCTGTCTTTGTGTTGAGGCTGGAGAGAGTTAATTCAAAATATCAATTCAATAACAAGACCTGGAGGGTAGTCACTTGACATTTCAGTGGGCGCTTCTACAAAATGTTGAGATATTGGTGTTGGAAGAAAAGAAATGTTTGCATCATGAAGGTACATTTAATAACTACAGCCCATACAAATGTAATTTTGAAAGAATGGATTTAGGCACAATTTATCATCCTCAACTGAACCTTTCTTGAAGATTCCAGGCCTGTAATAATTTTTATTAATGATTAGGCCAAATATTAAAAAAAAAAAAAAAACATGTTTAGCCTCCTGCATTCTTGAAAAATAGGAAGGAGGAGGCCCCTTTTTTTTTTCTTTTTTTTTCTTCAAAATGGCTGCTCAAAATGGCCACTCGATTTTCCCTGGCAGTCAGGCTATTTTTCAAGATGGCCGCCGGCATTTTTTTTCTTCTAAATCAGAAATAGATCATTTTAGCAGTGTTTTTCATGTTTGTTTTCTGCATAAAAAAAAACATTACAATTTTTTGTTTAAATTGAAAGAAGAAAAAAAGGAGACGGCCCCCAAAAAGGAAGCGGGCGGGAATGCTAAACATGAATATTTGTTTACTTGGCCTTATGTTGTTGTTTTTTGTTACTACAGTGTACATGTAGAGTAGGGTTCTCTTTGAAATTACCGGTATGAGCTATATTCCATAATTATCTCACTACTCCCCTGTACATGAATTTCATTAATTAAAATATTAGAGCTGCAGCATCGAGATACAGGACAGGTGATGGCTACAAAGTGCAAAGATCATCACAAATCAGAATAACTGGGATGATTTACATCATGAAATACAACTTATCAGTATTTTTTTTCTTGGCACCCTGTATAGCTGCAGCATCGAGACACTGGACAGGTGATGGCTGCTAAGATCAACACGAATCAGAATAACTGGGATAATGTACACCATGAAATACAACTCATTAGTCGCTTGGTACACCCTAACATCAACAGGTAAGCACTCAATCAGTCCTTCTTAACCCATTAACAACTGAGTTAACTAATTCTCATAGGCTTAAAACAGGACCATCCAGCTCTTGTGGGCAATGGGTGACACCCTATTCGTACATGTACATGTACAGGTGTACTTGATGTAATAAAATACTGAAAAAATACCTCCGCTGCAATTTTTTTTAAATTTGAGGCAGTTTACATGATTGGGCTTTATACCATGAACCGTACCTCTAGGACATGTCGGCCTAGACATTAAATGCTTGGGGATTGAGAATATCCCAGTAGGCTCTTACAAATTTGAGATGTCCATTTTTTAATTTGGAAGCTTTAATAATGCTGTCAATATGAATAGAAGTAATATATGTTTGAATGTAATATCGTACTTTGTACATTATCTAATAAAGCAAATTGTCTAGAAGAATTGGCAGGTCTTTACAGAACTTTGTAACTGTCTAGTTGTTTCTATTGTCCATTATAACAACCCATACTCAATCATAATCCTCTGAGGCTAATGGCTTTTCATTCTAAATATCATCAATCAAATTTGGAACAATTCCAAACTTGTTATCTTGTTCCTCTTATTTCCTAATGATGAATCATGAACAACTTTTCTTATTTGTGTAACCTTCATCATGTAAACACTTTTATTTGTTACTCTCAAACATCAAATTCTTTTCTTCTCTGTTCCAAACATTCAATCAAACATGGAAGCCTTGCATGAAAGGGTACATTATGAGACTTGTTTTGGGGAATTATGTGCACTCCAACTGAGTGCAATTGAGTCGGGTGTAAGATTATTTTTTGTGTTCTTAGTAAAACATCTGAATTTTTTTGTGGTGATATGCCCAAATTACATGATAAAGAAAAAGAAAAGAAAAAAAGAATCATTAGGCCAACATTGCACCTTTTTAGGGTCATAGCCATTGGGCTTACAGCCAGTCTTTCACTGCTATCCAGACATACAGTACATGTACATGTACATGTGTGCAGTCTATTTTGTCTATTTAGGCCACACAAGGAAAACAGAGAAAGTAGCAACTGTAGATATGTGACCTTTGTGACAGTTTGTACAACACATTGCTTTTTTGATGGAGACACAATACATGGCCTCTATAGACAGTGTTGCCTTTTAAAAGGCCTTTATGGAGACTACAATGTACATGGACAGCTTACACATGTACATGTAGTACACCATGCCAGGATGCAGTATTTAACTCCATTGTAAAGAGTCGAGACCATCTACATGTAGGCTCATTTATCAAACAATGAAATACAAAAATAAAGAAAATTATTTGAAATTATTTTTAAATTGAGATTTTTTGTCTTGAGATCTGTAAATCAAACTTTAATGAGATAGTATTAGTTTAACCACTTTAATACATGTATATTTCAATTATATCCATTGTGGTATTTTGCAAGGTATGAACCTGGGAAATGAACTATCGAGTCTGGGTTCTCAAATACTATTCACACCCTATACAATGTTTGGATTGCAACTGTTCACACCTTGTGATGTGAAAGTACATGTGTTATTATTGAGAGGGAGCGATCTAAAAGGTAAACATGCTCACTGATTCTCAAATCACTTCCAGACTGAGTTGTGTTACGATTAAGGTTCCAATTCATTTCCTTTCAGACTACAATGGAATGACACATGTAACAAATATCGTATTCATACCTCTTGTAGATTTTTTTTTGAGTGTGTTTTCATAACTCAAGAAAAAAAATGGGCTGGTTAAAGTAGGGTCTTTGTTGACTACCTTTATTTAAGCTTTAATCTATCAAAGTTTCAATAGGTGTATGTACATGTTCATGTAGATCAGGACGAATCAACCTGGTAAAGGGTATGCATAATTTACATGTAGATGTTAACTGTACATGATGGTTGGGACATGGAGATGTACAATATACTGTACATACAAGTTGAACCAATGAGTATTACACCATGTGATACACTTTGTGTTTCAATGAATAAATTATAGGTAATTTTGGTATTTTCCTACATTTACAAGTTCATGATAGAAAAGAAATCACTCCTACAATATACATGTAGCACAAAGAGAGGTAAATTCCACTTTAAAAAAAACACACTGGAAAGATACATTGCATGGTTGTTTTTGACATGTACCTGTACACCTCTACAGCAACATTGCCTGGAAATACATGTGCAAACTCTACCTTACATGTACATGTATGCATTTCATACATTTTATACTTTTCAAGATATTTTTACATGTATTTTGATGATTAAAACATTTTTTACCTTGGATTTGTTAATTAAACACACTTATTTACCAGATTACATGAACATACTGTAATCCCTTTAAGCGGGTGTAATCATTGCATATATTGTTTGTTTATGTCACACCTGTACATCAATAGAACGATATTGTCACAGAATGACAAGGTCTCATAATTGTTTTGACGTTGGCCGGTGAACTTGAACTTTAGGTATTAAACTAGGTTAATGCTGCTACAAAAGCGTATACCGGTAGTGCAGATTTTATTCAGCATCTTGTTCACTACAGGGCTAATCTCTCACAAAGCCCATCATTGAAACATGTACATGTAAATACATGTTCATGTGTATACTGTACATAGTGTACACAGATGTGAAAAGGTATTACCGGTACTATAATTGTAGTATTAAAGCAATTTAATTTGAAAATTAACATTATAAATGGCATGTGACCTCAAGAAAAGAAGAAACATGCATGTTATTTTTTCAAATTTGCTTGATTTCAGGCCCGATGCCTACCTGTATTATTTTATTTCATGCTTGTTTTAGGCTTGATGATGTAGAAAACGCATGTTATAGTCCTCGTAACAGGCTCAATGGTAAAAACCAACCAGTATTTCTGGAAAAAACAGCTCTTGAAAAGATGGAGAAAAAACTCTTCAGAGGGATACTCACAACTTGAGAGATGTGTGTATGATCAACAAAGCTAACCAATATGATTTCTATAACATGCAGATCTAATGTACAGTACATGTGTATTTCAAAGTGAACAAGTTTGCCCATGGCTGCAAATATAGATTGAATAGAGAACAGAGACAGTACAATTAGCTGAATATTATGTCACCTTTTAGCCTGTAATCTACAGTAGATATGAGGATAGTTTGATCAACGAACAGTACAGTTTTGGAGACTGCTCAGCCCTCCTTCTCCCCCATTTAATGTTGTGAAAAGCATTCATATACATGTAGATGCTTACATGTACAGTACATGTACATGTACTATTTTTGTTTATAGATTGGAATTATAATAAAGATGACCCCTTAAAGTGCCAAGTTTAGGAACATGAATTGTCAAGAAATTTTAATTGAAGTAACCATTTTATCCTGCCTTTTCATATTGGTTTTTGATACAGTAACCATTGTTCCATATATTAGATAATTAAGTGATGGTACATTTTATAAACCATCACAATTTTTAAACCCATTTTAAATATGAGGAAAGGAGAAAGACAAGCCCTGGAAAGCTAATGTACTCCCTTAGAAAAAACAAACAGACAAAAACAACAACTCCCATATAGTGGGAGGTTTAATTCAATTATACATTAGTTTCAATTCTCTTCTACATTTGCAGCTCCAAGCTTTTAAACACTTCCCTTTAGTATAATCTAAAAATCAGTTTGTCTGTTTAAACTGGGTAGCTGATCAGTTCAAGGCATTTCTATCTACACTATCTTCACAACACGGATGATTTGCATTCTCAGCTTTATCACAACTGGAATTTATCTATCATCGTCTTTGGTAGAGGACTGCAACTTTCTATCAGCTCGGCCAATCTCTCTCTTTCTGATAATTAGCATACCATACATGCCTGTCTACCTCATACGTACATGATGCGATGCATTTCCGATGGACATAACTTACCAAGCTGGTACATGTGAGGGATAAGATACAGAGATGGGTGAAAACCTACAGGTATACAGTGTATTTGTGATTGGTAACAGATGCGAATCTCCACTACATGTACATGTATATAAAAACTAATTATTTTAATGTGTCAAATTTTACAATGTAATGTGGCTTGTTCACTCCACATTGAGATCTATTGAATATTTTTACAATGATGTGTATACATGTAGTATCTAACCTAGGGGTGTGCATGGTGCCCCATGAGTCTATCATACAGAGGTAATTATAGATTAACATTTGTAAATACTCCAATATTGTTTTGAAGCTGGAGTCTGCTAGTTTTGAGACAAGTCACTGTGCCATGGTTGTTTGATGGATATACAGTGTACTTGTACATCATATACAGATCGAAGACCTGTTGAAAGGAATTTTTAAGATGTGATGTTAAGCTTTTGTGAAATTCAGAGATGTGATGTTTTTCCTGAGTGTAGTCATGCGGCGTAGTAAAATTTATAACTAAACATGGATTGTTTTCTCTCGGTGGAATGAGATAATTCGATCAGCACATCGTATCATGTGTATGTACGTGTAGACCTGTCAGGGGCTAATTTCAACACTAAAATAACAAAGAAAGTGATTTGTGCCATTATGACATCATATGTTCAATGGAGCCTGATCTTCTCTCAGCAGGTTACATCCAGCTGTTTATCAATCCATTCATGTCAGGTCTCAATAGAGTAACGTCCATCTTCACTCATTCATCAAGACAGCCATCACTAATCATGCATTCAGACGGCTACCTGCGTAATGGCCTCCCACATCAATGCTATTACCATGCCTGGGACGAAAGCAATAACAACTGGCATTTTAAGAGACATTGCACGCTTTCAATACAACAATCGACAATGAATTAATAGCAAAGAACTGCCAGTAAATAGGATTAAGTAGTTAGGTTGATTGTCAAAATGTCAAATGGTTAATTGCTTCCTCGATTGGATATTAAGTGGGTGTTCAATGACAAAATGGTCAAATGATACAAACTGTGTGGTTTTGTTAGCTGACAATATACCAATTACATGGTTCATGCTTGTACATGTACATGTATTAGCCAGTTATTGAATAGACCTTGTGTATATTGTTTCCTCAACTTTTATGTAAAGATTAATTTAAAAAGACATTTTGTACGTAACAATTTTAAATTAATGAAATGACATTGGCCCTTGATGAATAATACAAATTGGTACAATATACAGATATATATATATATATCAGTAAAAAAGAAAAGAACAAAAGCATAAACGAAGGAATACATACCATGTATGAAATGATTAATTGCTAGTTTTAGAACCCATTCTGTATCCATGTTTTATTTTGACTGTTAAAGTGGTTGAAAAGAAAGCACACCATCTATATAGCTCTTGCACCTTTTCCTGAAAGTTGGTTTTCCATTCAGCTTTTGAATGAGAGTTTATAATGTAACAACCTGGTGTAATTACAGGTTTTAATGAACTAAATCCCTCATCCAGTATTTTGTTCCTTCTGGCCCACGATTGCTACTCGTTGCCCTAAGGTTCAAACAACCTAGAATCGTGATTTAAATTGCCCAACCCAAGGTAAGAGTCATGTTTCTCTACACTCCCTCAAGGCTCAAGGTAGAGTTCAGATTTAATTAGATTAACCATTGAAAGCGTTGCCCTGTTCACATGGATATATTATGTGTACTGTATGTAAAAAAGCAAGAACAGGTAGAATCTGGGGACCTTAAAGTTGCTTTAGAGACGTACTCGAGCGCTAACTTAAACACACCAGGCATTCAGAAACCCTGGAGCCTTGCTGTACCTCTTTTCCTATGCTGAATATATCTACATGTAGGAACATCATCACAAAATTTAGCGTGCATATGCCACCCTGCCAGCTTTCATTACATTCTTCATGATTTGTGTTGAAGAGATTGCAAACTGCATGTACTGTACATCTATCTTTACATGTAGGCCTAGAATGTGTCTAGGGCAGGCAGCTAGCCCCTGTCAAGTCCCAGGCTTCGAGGATTACCCCCCCCCCCCCTCCTAATGATGACGATGACCCCTCTTGGCCTGAATAAGTATCCCCAGACAACTAATTGTATGTACAAATGTATGTGCCCCTCGATCCACCCCTCTCCATTTCAATAACTACATACACAGTCTCTTTGTAGTTAATGTATATACCTGGTGGTACATACATGTATACAGTAACCATACATTTGTTTGTCATCTCAATAATATTTGTTTTAAGGGTAATTGCATCCCTGCCAACTGTTCTGATTTAATTTGAATATTCAGATTCTGATTTTTCAAAATTCTGAAAGACCATTTATTTTCCAAGCCAGATTTTACTTGTACAAAAATGTACTAATAACTATCCTTAACCAGAGCCCATCATTTAATTTTGTTTTGCCCATAACACTTCAGCTTCAGGGGGTGGTGTCCCCTATACCCTGCAGGTGCGCTGCCCCTTGACCCCAGTGAGGTTTACGCCCCCAAACCCCGCTAAGGGTACATTTTTTCTTATTTTCAATTGTTGGCAGGTACGGTATGTAATTGTTGTAGGGAGTAGTTGTCCGGGGAAGGGGGGGGGGGAGGGGGGATTTTAAAAGATGTGTGTATAATTGTGTGTGCGTGTGTGTGTATGAGGGTAGGTTGTCTTCTGGGTAGTTGTCATGGGGGTGATCTCAGGGAGTACATACACTGTGTGTGGGTAATATTACATGGACTCTAGAGTGAATTTGTAATGAATTACCTAGCTGTGAATGTGGACTGGGCAGAAGCTAGAGTGAAACCAATTTCAAGAGACCCTAAGGTGTGTATCTAGCACTATCTCCTTGTTAATCATGATGTTACATCAGATCTTATTTATTGGAATCTCTTCTCCAGAGAATCTGGCAGTGGACGGAATTCTAGTATTAGGACTGTACAGTTTTTGTGTACGTACTAGTCAGGAAAGGATGATGGACATTTTGAAATGCCCTATACATGTAGATCTTACCCCTCTTTGCCATCTGAAACCGATTCTTCCATAAAAGTTTCATTATCTTGATTTTATACAAAGTAATCTTGGAATGAATGATAAAAGGTTCTGAAGCCTTTTATAGAAATTTACATTAACTATGATCTTGACCAGTGCTGCCTATTCCATATCATTTTAAAGCATTTCCATGAAATTCAATAATTGCTACATTCACCTTGAATAGCATTCAATCTAACAACTTACCGGTACTTGATTTAGATTGAATCTTGAATTTACGAACAGTTTGCTTTAGCAATAACAACGTACTTGTTTCAAATTGAATCTTGAAATGAGTTCCTTGTGTATCTGCCCTTTCAAAATTGAATTGTTATTGCTTTTTGAGGCTTTGAGACACTTATGCAGGAAATGGGGGGGGGGGGGGGGGGGGGGAGAGAAGAGAGAGAGAGGATGAGGAGGAGGAGAGGAAGAGAAGAGAGAGAGAGAGAGAGAGAGATACAGTACATGTAGGGAGGGAGAGACAGAGAGACAGAGGGGGGGGGGGGGGGGGGGGGGGGGGGCATAGCATAGAGATATGAGATTGTAATTTTTCCTTGTGATACAGTTATCACATTTTAATAGGTGACAAACAAGGCTACTGAAATTGTCCTGGTTTCATTTTTAACTCTTTGTGATCGCGTTTTAATCTTAATTTTTTCTCACATCGATAATGTTTTAAACAATGATGAAGGCCTACATGTATGTATGTTATAATCCATCTCATGCGATATGTACATCCTTCCGTCCTTCTTGGATCATCATAAATGATTGATTATGATATCTTCCTAATTAGGATGGCCTTGCTCGCTTCCTGTCATGTGATGACACCTAAAGGAGAAATGAAAGGCGGAAAAGAACGTTTGATCATGATTGAATTATGAAATGAGGCGTGAGCCAGGCTTAAGTGCTCTCTCTCACACATTCATAGAATATTATTTATGAAAAAATATTTGATCATATTTCCAAGAGAAAAAAATGTGGGTGGTAATTAGTGAGAAGTGTGCTTGAGTGTATTTGGATATACATGCACAAGAAGATCATGTATAAAATGAGAATAAACTAATTATTGAAAGTGTGCCAGAAGGTTAGGGGGAGTGGGAGGGGAAATAAAAAAAAACCAGATAAATATGAAATACGGGGAAAAGAAAACCATGCAAAGCAAAAACTTTATTAAGTCTGAAAATCTTTGATGAATATTGATGTAGGGATTCTATTACAAATATTAGCAATTTGTTTCTGATGAAAATGTGGGTGTCCTGGATATCATCTATATGATTTTATTTTCATCTTTTTATGAAAACTTACACATCAAACTTTATCTATGATTCTTATATCAAGTTGTTTAGTTGTTACGAGTACATGTAGTGTAAAAGGATAACAGATATCTTTCTATTTCTTCATTATTGAGAGTGTTTCTCTTGCTATCCATCCGTCTTTTTATTACCAAGTATGTATTTCTGGATATAAATAACCTTAAAGTATTGTGTTATTATTGGGACGATAGAAAAGTGCTGGGCATTGATAATCCAGAATACACTAACTAATGCAATTTTCTTGTAGATTCTGTACGAACATACATTGTAGGTGATTACCTTATCTTTAATAACAAAAATCAAAAAACAAAAAACAAAATATCTGTTTATGACCTTTAATTCAATTGCTTTGAAATATGAAGCTCTGCCATTCCTCTTACCCTTCATGTTATCTCTATAACAAAAACATCCTGGTGCAGAAAGAATGTTTCATCAACTGGTCATTCATTTGTAGATGAGGATAGAAGCAGGTAAATTACAATGGGCCTGTTTTCATCAGCTCGAGATTGCCAAGTATCCCGCTATTAGAACTATCCCGATTGCAAATTATCCAGTTAATTTGCGTCTTCATCAGCCCGAAGCTGTAATTAGCGGGATATTTGGTCGAGATAATCATCCCAAGATATCTTGGGCTAGATTGCAAAATATCCAGCTATTTGCCAAACTATCCTGCTATTTGTCTGGTGCGTCTTCACCAGCCCGAAGACTCGCACTATGCGTGAACGCTGAGCAAAATATCTCGAGCTAATATCTCGAGCTAATATCTCGAGCTAATATCTCAAGCTCAAGTTTCAAGTTTCTAATTCGAGTCTTGAGCTGATGGAGACGCAATTTTTGTAACTTCAGGATTATTTCCCAAATCAGAAATAGCGGGCTATTTTGCAATCTCGAGCTGATGAGGACAGGCCTAATGTGACGCACATGGTCGCTGCCGCCTCATCGTGTAAGGCTCAAAGTAGAAGCAACAATATAAACAGATCTCTTAGTGATGAAAAATTGCTCTGATCTGCCACTTTCATCAAAATTCTATCTTCATGAGAACGCCAGAAGGGTTTCTGATCCCGGTGTAAGTCAATAAAGAGACCCTCGTGTGCACTTTACTATTGCGTTGCTCTAGATAGAGTATTGAATTGATCCATATTTTTATGTCCGTACATGTACGTCAACAAGGGAGTTGAGAACTGAAGTCTTATGGAATTGTAACTGTCACGGAAGGGGAAAGATGGCATAACTATAAAGAAGCTAACATTTCATATCCAGATATTCTGTCTGCTGAGAGAAAAAAAGGGTATTATGATTATCTATAACAAGTTACTTTAAAGAGTAAACTTATCTGTGCTGAGAAACTTGGTTAATGCCCCTACATGTATGCCTCTTTAATTGAGAAAGAGCAAGACATTAGCATTTCCAAACATCTGTGTATTTTAAAATGTCTTATTAACAAACCTTCTTTTTGTTTTTTTTAGGTTTATGGGACTCTGCATCCATGAGGGCAGTCTGCATCCACTTTTAGAGGTAAGAAAGAGAAACATATAGAGAACGAGAAACAGATAGAGAGAGAGTGAGAGAAAGAGAGAGAGAGAGAGAGAGAGAGAGGAATAGAGGGGGAGGGGAGAAGATATTAGGGTATGAAGAAGGAGTAAGAGGAGAGGAAGAAAAGGGAAAAACCCAGATACATTGATTGCAAGAGGGTAATGTAAGGTATTTAAATAGGAAATATTTAGAACAGAGGAAGGAAGAGATAGAGAGAGACAGAAAAAAAGAAAGGGAGAGGGAAAGAGAGACAGAGACAGAGAGAGAGATATAGAAAGTGGATGGGAGAGATCCAGTGATAGGGACATGTACAGAGGAATGCAGTAAGATGCGTGGAAGGAAGACTGGGAGTCACGAAGCAGCTTGACCATGGTAGAGTGCACATTTTCCATTTGAGAATATTTTCTTCGTTGGTAATCAAGAAAGATGATCTAGAAAGACACCCTAAGGAGTGTGACTGTGAGAGAAGCCTCACCCTCAGATGAATGCTCTTTGTATCATCTGAGGACCTCTCAAGAGATGTCTTGGTGTGAAAATGCATTTGAAGAAGACGAAATTGCCATGGTAATGTGTAAATTTACATTTTAAAAGCAGAGAAATGTGAGACTTCCCTGATTAATGGCACTAAAAGGGGGGGGGGGGGTTGTCGTCACACAAAATGTATGGACATGAAATTCTACATGTAGCTACCCATTCAGAATACCGTACAGGTATGTGTTATTTAGTACAGCTTTAGGCCCCTATTCTATTAGTGTGGAAATGTTCAAAAGAAATCTACAGCGAAAAGGGTTGTGGGCTTCATCTTGCTCTCACTGGTTCAAACAACCAATCTATATGTACTGCAGGATAAACAATCAGGAATAATTTTTTTCATAGCAATTTTCTCTCAAAATACGATTCCCATACCATAGCTCAAGATTGAATTTTTCTCTTGTAGGATTGGACACATCTGTCCTTTCAGTAGACTGTCCACTTGGCCTAGCTTGAGCTGACCCCTGAGTGAAGTGTTTTGTATGAAGATGCACAGTAGCAAAGAGGGTAGCTTGTAATGAGATCCGCTATCAAGGTGTTGATAGGGTAATGCATAATGGATAGCATCGGAATGCTATGGTGGTAATGAAGATGAGATTATACTGGACAGTGTCTATTGTATTATCATATGCAGCTGCCCCCCCCCCCTTAGCTCCTATCTCTCTCTCTCTCTCTCTCTCTTTCTTTCTCTCTTCCTCCCTCTCTCTCTCTCTCTCTCTCTCTGTCGGTCTCTCTCTCTCTCTCTCTCTCACACACTCTCTCACACACTCTCTCTCTCTCTCTCTCTCTCTCTCACTCTCTTGTTCTCTATCCCTCTCTCTGTCTCTACTTTCTTTCTACCTTCATTCTTACTCTCTGTTCTATCATGGAGATAAAAGATATCAAAGACATATCGAAGAAATATAATAATAATAATAATATTCAATTTGTAATATAGCGCTTAATACAAATGTCTCTAAAGCGCTTTACAGATATACTCTTTGGTGCTATCTTGCTCTTTGCTTACTATCTGTATGCACTCTCTCCTTTCTCTCTATCTCTCCTGTCAACCAGACTCTCTCTCTCTCTTTCCTTTTCTCAGTTCCCCTTCTGTACCTCTCTTTCTCTCTCTCATTTGTTCATTCAATTTTCTAATTTTGTACGCTCTTTCCTCCTCCCATTCTCTTTTCAGGTATCCTTTTCTCTTTCTTTCTTTCTCTCCCTCTGTCTCTCTCTTTCTTTCTCTCTCTTTCTCTCTCTCTCTCTCTCTCTCTTTCTCCCTCACCATTCTCTCTCATCATGAATACATGCATTCAGTTTAGAAACTGAAAAGATAATTGCCTTTCTAAAAAATTATTTCCTGTCTATTGACAATAATTTTCACTCTACAGTAGTCATAGAAATGAAGGAATTTATCCCTCCCCCTTCACTTCCCATTCCTGTATCCACATCACTTATCTATGGTGGCCCTGAAGGGACATCGCAAATAGACTAAATCGTGAAAAATATGCGATAAAATTCACGATATCGTCAATTTTATCGCATATTTTTCACGAAGAAATTCACGAAATTGACGATATCGTGAACTTTATCGTGAACTTTTCACGATGAAATTGACGATATCGTGAACTTTATCGTGAACTTTTCACGATAAAATTGACGATATCGTGAACTTTATATCGTGAACTTTTCACGATAAAATTCACGATATCGTCAATTTCATCGTGAAAAGTTCACGATAAAGTTCACGATATCGTCAATTTCGTGAATTTCTTCGTGAAAAATATGCGATAAAATTGACGATATCGTGAATTTTATCGCATATTTTTCACGATTAAGTCTATTCGCGATGTCCCTTCAGGGCCACCATACTTATCTCCCCCATCTCTTCAAGCTGTCTACACCTTCTGTTGCCCATCTGTGATGTTCTGCATTAGGCTCTTTCACACCCTTCCATCTATCTCATATCATTTGTCCTGTACATGTAACGGTATCTCACTATCTGTCAGTATTTTCACACAAGAGGAAATTGGTATAATGGAACATTTTACATAGAGATGCCTTTGGTAATTGCATAGTGACAGGATGAATACAAAGTCATGAGCTACGCATAGTCACTCAAAAATAAACGACTAGAAAGCTGTTTAACAATAACAGAATAGTGCTTATTATATATAGTTTCCTTATTGAACAATGTTCACACAATGTGATAGTCTTGATTCTGTATAGATGTCTCTTTCAAAGTGATCTCCAAACCTTTGTGTAACACTGCTCCCAGGAGAGCTGTATCACACAAAACATAGTTTTTGTTGTCTGAATGAAGGTATATCAGTGTCTCTTATCTTTTTCTGCACACAGTAACAACTTTTGATGACAAAGATTTATGAGTACTAATGAGTGATTGTGAGCTAAAATATCAAGGGCAAAGCTATATATCACATCTTATGGTGCAAACACACTAGTGGGATATATCATGAACCCAATACAATTATTAGGTTCATGGATATATTGATATAAAGGTATAAAGTGGACATAGAATATACCTGCTCTCATGTTTAGGTATTGATAATCAAGGTTATTTTCTCCAGCAGTGAAAATTATACTCCATTTATACATACATTACATGTCTTTATTATATCACTCATATGAAGTACTGCCTGTCCTTTTATCTAAAATATATGTCATCCTTTCATACAGTGCATATATTGTATTGGATTATTATTCACAGCTGACCTGATTTGATTATTATTTACATCTGACCTGATTAATTTACGATGCCCACCCCCCCCCCCCCCCCCCCCCATAATTTGGATGAAAACATTTTCTTTCTTTTGTTGGCTTTTTTTGGCTTCTTTTTGCAATCTAAATATTGTCATGTGCCCAACAGAAGGTTGTGAATTGATCTTCTCAGTCGGCTGCTGTTTTGATGTGTGATAGAAAAGAAGAAGAAGGATGGATGAGCCGATGAGGTATGATTGTTAATACTACAGGTACATATATTCTTTGATAGAGATGGAAATGACTTCTGGTGATCACCATGAATATGTCATGCTGTAGACTATAAATGTGTCATCATTAAAATCAAGTGGTACATGTATATTAAAAGTTTTGAACTAAAATATAACACTTCCTACATTGTAAGTGTCTGCCCCACAAACCTCTGTGGTTGACTCAATATTTACAGTGAAACAAATGGGAAGGATGCCAAGATATTCAACCTTGTGAATAAAGGAACAAACCACACCAGAGACTAAACCAAAAAAAAGAAATTGTCACAAGAATAAATGGGAATCCCCTTCTATTCTTTACATTGGTCAACATTTCTTTTAGACTGAATCAACATCTCATAATGGTACATGTATCATCCCACGAGACATACATGTACCAAGAATAACACCGTCTCAAGGCAGGAGTAATTGTGAAATATCTCACTGGACCAGGACTTCCAAGGAATTGGGGAATTCCCTTCCAAAATATTCTAGGGTACATGACCGAGACAGTGTCTTCACTTGGAAAATACTTTCATTTCTCTGTATGAATTATGTTTTTGATCAATTTGTATTTGTAGTCACACTTGGTTCATCAACATTATTTTCTAGGAATGTAATGTAGGCCCCTACAACTTACAAGGGTATATTGTTGATAAAACAGGTGCAATCCTTCTCAACTTATGGAAAGACTCGTCCGCTTGCGTAATAATTCAGATGAAACAGACTGGAACGTTTTAATATTTGTTCTGTCAGTTGATCAAACAGTAGTCAAGGTTACACACTTGCCTACTTTTCAAAGTTACTAACGAAACCTTGATGACAACTATCTACAAATTTTGACAAGCGATATTGCTTTTTTTGCTAATAATAGAAGCAAACATAACAAGGAAAATGAAAATGAAACTTGACTGTGGCTTTGTTTTGGTGTGAGATTGGCCATGCATCATTAGGAAGGCCTGGGGAACTTTGAATGAATGCTCTCCTTCTCTCTCTCTCTCTCTCTCTCTCTCCCTTTATCTCTCTCTCTTTCTTTCACTCCTTTTCTCTATCTAAATGTATATCTCCCTCTGCTGTTAACCATCATTCAGTTTTGATTTTCCTCAATTAATTTCTGTTAATTCTAGCATGTTCCAAACTACACCTTTTGCATCCATGTTTTCTTTCAATACATTTGTATGAATACACCTGATAGTGGTGGAGTTGAACATACTGTACACTACCCAGTATGCTTGAAAGCTTGAAAGATATATTGATTTGTGATGCATGGAGAGAATCCAGATTTGTCAGAAATTGGCTATTGAAATGGGCAAATGGCCAATCACAGCCAAAGAGGGAGAACACATCTTAACCCTCTCCACAGATTGATCTGTTCATGAGTTGACCTCCATCAGACAAGTGCCTGGTTAAAGATTCCCATATTTTTGTTCAGAGTATAGTTATACCTTCGAGAAATCCAGGACCCTGTCTTAAGAAGAGTCTCGA